TATGGAGGACTGTTTCCTGATCCTGGTAGAGTAGACTACAATGCCGGCTGTTCTGACTCACAGACTGTAAGTACGTTTTCATATTTAAAGTATTTGCCACTGATGATTCAAACGTGAGTTTTGAGCAGTGTAGAGTAGCGCTTGTTGTTTGTCATTTCTCCGATCACAAATGCAGACAGGGTTTTATGTTTACGCGGCGCGATGCAACGCAACGCAACGCGTAAAAAGACAGTATAAGTCATTATAATCCGTAATTATGTCCCCACTTGATGCAACAAATGCCTCGTTTATAATGGGTTTTAATGTTTTTGTCTCGTTGCTCCGGCTGGACAGGGCATCACAATATGGTGAGGGGCGTAACATTTCCGTCACACGCTTGAGGTATTCGGCCAATCACAATGTGCTGGATAGCTGGCCAATCACAGCACACCTTGCTTTTCAGCCCGATGAGCTTTGTAAAAATCGACGTGTTTCAGAAAGGCGGGGCATAGAGGATAAACAATAATGTACAGTATGTGGAAAATAATGTTTTTTTTTTTACCTTAACCACATAAACACATTTCATTGCACCAAATACACAAAATAATGTTCTTTTTAGCAACATCACATGACCCCTTTAAAAAAAATCCCAAATAGTACTGAAATATAATTTTTTGTCAATATCGCACACCCCTAGCAAAGTTTTAGCAACACCCTAACAACCAGCCCACAGACCCTCACAAAGGCCTAGCAACTACTTAACAGCCACTTAAAAAACCATAGCAACAACCTAGCAAACTACATCCCTCAAAACTTCACATCACTCTACAAACTGCTCAAGTAGTCAACTAAAAATGTGTATAATCAAATTTAAACTTCCAACCAAGGCCTCATCAAGCCAACAATCAAAATCTGAGTCGCAGTACTTTTCCAGTTTCAAAGTGTCTCACTTTAAGTGTGTGTGAGTCTGTGTGAGATCAAACCTTGCTCCTGGTTCCTGACCAGCGTCTGCAGTGCAATGGCTGCCTCCACTTTGACAGGCATCTCCTTGTCATCCACCAGGTTCTGTTTGACCAGCTCCACAGCGTTCCTCAGGACCAGCTCATTATGGAACCTCAAAGGACTGAACGAGTGCAGCACCCAGCACGACTGCACACACACACACACACACACCCACCACAGAAAGACCAGAATCACGCCTCCATGGAAACCAGTGTTGCTTTGAAGGACTCTTGACAGATGCAGTTTTGATAGCCAAAGTTCTGTGTAAAATATGCTTTCAAATTCAACTAGTCATGGGTTGTTTGAGCAACTAGTTGGTCATGCCCACCAGAAATGGACTATGGACTAGGAGCACAAACCATTAATAGGGTGAATGATAGATAGCCAACAAATAACCACGCTAATTAACAACTTCAATCACACATAACTGTTATAGTCCTCACAAAAAGAGAGACTTAAAGTATGCATAACACACACACACACACACACACCCACCACAGAAAGACCAGAATCACGCCTCCATGGAAACCAGTGTTGCTTTGAAGGACTCTTGACAGATGCAGTTTTGATAGCCAAAGTTCTGTGTAAAATATGCTTTCAAATTCAACTAGTCATGGGTTGTTTGAGCAACTAGTTGGTCATGCCCACCAGAAATGGACTATGGACTAGGAGCACAAACCATTAATAGGGTGAATGATAGATAGCCAACAAATAACCACGCTAATTAACAACTTCAATCACACATAACTGTTATAGTCCTCACAAAAAGAGAGACTTAAAGTATGCATAATAACAGCATTTTTTCACAGAAGGCAATTTGAAATGTAACAGTAATTGTCTTGAAATTTATTGTTGGAGATTTTGTAAAGAACGCGGTGCTTTGATGGCTGAAACGGCGGTGCTTTAGAGGACTGAATTTGTAGACAACTTTTCTGAAATGCTTTTATTGTGCTGACAGTTAGTCTAATAATTAGTAATCAAGCCAAAACCCTCTCTGACAAGATTTAGGATCTTTAAATTTTAATTAAGAAGACTTTAAATGTAAAAAGAAACTCAATAACTGACTAGTCTGTTGTTAGGATGATTAGTTGACCATCCTGACCAAATCCTATCCTAAAACTATAAAAAAACAAAAAAACATTTTTATTAATTGAAATAAAATACACGAATAAAATAAAATATAAAGTAAAATAAATTAAACAAAAATTTGAAATGTTAACTGAAATAAGTTTAAGTACTAAAACTATGAAATAAAACTAAAACAAAAACTGAAAAATTAAAACCATTTAGAAAAAAAAACATAAAATAAAAAATATATTTAAAAATACAAAATTAAAATAGTAATAAATCTATTAATAGTATATAAATAATATAAAAAACACCAATCTCTACTAAATAGTTATACAGTAACTTAATACAGTAAGCCATGTGAGAATAAAGGCTTTTTATTTTTCACCATATTTTCAAGTGCTTTGGCGTTATGAGTTTTTTGATGAGTACAGTGACATTTAATAATGTCATCTGGCACTTAATAATGGTTAGCAGTAAACACTCACTCACCCGGGCCCTTAAGTAGCCAAGATTAAAGTTGAGCAGTGGAAACACATAGTTTTGTAACATGAGCTCCATCTGGTCCCTGTACACCCGCTTCTGCAGAAAGACAAGGACAAGCAGGAACACTAATGCAGAAAGCTGGTAATTAAATTGGGAACACAGAAGATCTTGCTAATTAAATCGAACCTTTAGCAAGTGTTGAGCCAAGGCACCGATCACATGCAGTGCCCCGTCCTTCCTGCGGGGGTCAGCGTTGGGATCCATGAGGATCTGATGGCAAAACTCCATCATCTGAGGCAAAACCTGAGAAGGACATAAAAAATAAAGAGAGCACAAACCCACAGGCGATGACAGAACCCATTTACCCCCTAAAATGTGCAACTGAATCATATGTGAATGCGTGACCTGCAGAAAACAGCACCCCAAAACATCACTCTGAATCCTTCCCTTGAAAGCTTCTTCCCTCCAGTATCTCTAGCAAGTAATTCTGATCAGATCTGAAGGCGTTTCTTGGAAAGTCTGGAGTGTTTCATTGGAATGTAAATGTAAACAAGAGCGGTCTGGGGGTGGACTCACCTCCTTCCTCTTCCTGGCTGCTGTACACAATAGAGTCTGAGCGGCCGTGGTGGGAGACACATGATCATCATACATATCTACAGTAGAACACACACACACACACAGATCAGCCAATCAGATCATTACGCAATCAAAAACAACAGCTTCTATTCCTGAATTCACTGACAGAGGAAATTAAACTGCTTGCAAGCAAAAATGGATAAAGCACAACATTTTTTATAAAAAATATCTCAATATTTTTCAGCCTTGACTGAAATACATCAGAAAAAACATAATCAACCAAACAGCCATTGTAGTCATGCTTAATGCATAAATTAAAAGTTAAAGTCTAATAATATTAAAAAATAAATAAATAAGTTATAAAATAAATTTTTATTTTAATTTAAAGGGGTCATATGATGCGATTTCAAGTTTTCCTTTCTCTTTGGAGTGTTACAAGCTGATTGTGCATAGATAAGATCCCTGAAGTTGCAAAGACTAAAGTCTCAAAACCAAAGAGATATTCTTTATCAAAGTTAAGACTCTGCCACGCCCCCCTAAAACGGCTCGTTCTAACACGCCCCCACATATCTACCTCACTATGTGGAAATATTTGCATAATGCCGCCCAAATGTTCACGCAAAGAAAGAAGGCGTGGTTTCAGTAACCGCAGTTAGTGTTGATGCAGCATGTCAGGGAGACGCTGTGTGTTTCTAGGCGAAAGCAAAAGCACTTTATTTGGCCTTCCGAAAGTAGATGCATTTAGGACTTTTTAAGATTACTTACAATAGAACAGCAATGCATTTTATGGACGACCGTTTCGTGAACCTAGGAGAGGAGGTAATTCTGACTTTGCTATGACAATCTGGCCTGCCATAGTCTTTCATCTTCATCTTTATAGCACATCAGAGGAAACACCACCTCCTGAGTTATAGTCTGCAGAGACAGAGATATTACGCTGTATGGAAGTCATCATTTCTATGAAGTCATGTGATTTCTGTTTCTCAGCTGGTTCCCACCTGCATGTGCGGTTTCATCTGTCTCCATGTGAGCGAGTGCGAGACGCCCTGAGTCATGTAGCTCAGCGCCTGCTGGAGGACACGAGGACTCACGTACTGCCTCTGTCTGTGCTGCTCGATCACTTTCAACAAGACCTGCAGGGAAAACAGCCTTTCACTCAGCGATCTTACAGGTAACATGAAAATACAATCACTGTACCATGGGACCACAACAATTTGTTTTTTCAAATTACAATTTCTGCTCATACCTGCTGGATTCCTACAGCATATGTCTTCAAGAAAAAGTCAGCAAACTCGACATATTCCTTCGTCACATTTCCTGGACTGCCATATCTGACAATAGAAAATCAGTACAATTCAATTAATATAATGTAACATTACATAACATAACATAACATAACATAATGTAACGTACATAATAGTTACTGAGATTATACAAAATCTATCACTAATACATAACATGTATTACACAAAAATATAATTCCAAGTAATTGAATACAAAATATATAATTAATGTACAAATTATAATATAAATTAATATATAATTCAAGTTATTGTAATCCAAATATCATAGTATATAACACTAATATACAAAAATACACAGAAAAATACTACTACTAATAATAATAATAGCATATAAATAATAAGTATTATTTGAATATTAAATTAATAGTACATGCAATAATAATATTCAGTTACTGTGACACAAAAAATACAATAAAGATACAAAATATTAAAAAATGTCATACGTATTATACTAAAAATATTTAAATATTAATGTAAATAATCATCCAAAATATACAATAATTATATAAGAAATAATAATATAATCCAAGTCATTGTGATTATACAAAATATATGACTAATACACAGAATATTATATTTTGCCAAACAATTAATACAATTAATGTACAAAATGTAATAATATTCCAAGTTATTGTGATCATACAAAATATACCACTAATATACAAAATAATACATAGAAATATACTACTACTACTAATAATAATAGTAACTGCAATATTCAAATAATAATAGTATTATTTGAATATTCAATTAATGATATAATAATAATAATAAAGTTATTGTGATAACAATTTACAATAAACATACAAAATATACAAAAATAAAATGGTATACACAAACAAATTATTTTGATTTAAAAATTAATGCAAATAATCATCCAAAAATTATCAATTCATATATAAGAAATATAATATAATATAATTGACCATTATTGAAATACAAAAATTATATTAATTACTGGGTGCTGCTCTGTTTTTAAGTCTACTATTGTGAAAAGTGCATTTCCTATTAGGGGACAATAAAGGTCTTTCTATTATAAATGCCCACAAATGAGGCTTGTGGTCTGGCTTGTTTAATCACCTCTCAAACATTCTCGTGATGATGTGCAGAGCCCATTTCTTGCATTTCCACCAGATCAGTTCCGGTCGATCGTCCTCATCAGCTTCCAGAGTTTCCTGAAAATCATTCAGCATACAGTCATGGAATCATATTTACCAATAAGATCTTAACTGTGAAAAAAGCATGGCAAACTTACTGCAGGGACGTCCCGATCAACAGCTGTCCGCAGGATCTCCATCCAGTAGGTCATGGCTGTGTTACTGATCAGCTGTAGTGGAAGGGAATACTGCAGACACAAACACAAACAGGGACTTAGCACTGACCTGTTGGGACTAACCTGGCAACCAAATGAAAGAAATGTTCAAACACACCTGTACAAGTGCATGGAAAATCTTTAGGATTTGCTTCTGGATCAGAACTGAGATGAAGGTGGCATCAGACAGGAGTTGAGTGATGAGTTGCTGGAGCCGAGGCAAGAAGATCTGCATCGCAACCAACAGGGGGTCCCGCTCCTCAGCCTTCTTAAACCTGACCACCACAGAACCATAATGATCAACTTTCATACAAATTTCGATTTACTCTTTCAAAAACCCCTGATTTAAAAAAAAAATTGTTCTGAAAATTTGCTTAACTTCAGGGCAACCAAGTTGTAAATGAGTTTCTTCATCAGAACAGATTTGGAGAAATTTAGCATTACATCACTTGCTCACCAATGGATCCTCTGCAGTGAATGGGTGCCGTCAGAATGAGAGTCCAAACTGCTGATATAAACATCACAGCTCCAAAAAAGCTGCGTATTTATAAAAAAACAAATCCATCATTAAGACGTTTAACTTCAAACCATTGCTTTCAGCTAAAATAGAGTCCTATATCCATAATATTGCTTTGTACAGTGAAAAAGTAGTCTCATCTGAATCAGCAGAGAAATATGCACAGATCAAGCACCGTTTACAAGCAGTACAAAACAGTTTAAAACAAATATGTTGGTAAATTTTGAAGTGAGAGGGCCACAGGGGATGAACTTTTTCAATTGAGGAAGTGTTATTATGGATTATGAACTTGTATTTTAGCTAAACGCAACAGTTTGAATTTAAAACGTTTCAATGATGGATTTGTTTCTTACAAACACACAGCTTTTCGCTTCACATTCATTGATGGACTGGAGTGGTGTGGATTATTGCTATGTTTTTATCAGCTGTTTGGACTCATTCTGACGGCACCCATTCACTGCAGAGGATTAATTTCCCCAAATCTGTTCCGATGAAGAAACAAACTCGTCTACATCTTGGATGGCCTGAGGATAATGAAATTACTGTGTTTAGAAAATGTAAAATTTTGGGTGAACTATTCGTTGAACCTTGATTGAAGGTTGACAATTATGACATTTGTAAATGGTGAAATATCACAGGTAAGGGACTTCAAGAGAGACAAAAATCTTGTGGTTCACTCACTCGTAGTTTTTGACAAGTTGATAAAGAGCGAGCAGACTCCCATACCAGCTCCCACTGTTCTGTGACTGCAGGTACAGGTTAATTTTGTCCACTACGCCCATCCACCGTCCAGGAAAGTCGTGTTTTATTATGGCACGCAGACATACTGTCAGCTGAGCCCTGACAACCAACAAAAAAAGTCATTTTCAAGTAATAACACCTCCAAAACTGACATACTTGCACAACTGACTCACCTTATGGACTCTGGACAGCGAATAATGGCCTCCACCATGTTTTCTCGGATCTGTCCGCGATCGTTTTCATGGATGTTGAAAGGAAACACCACCTCTCCCAATGTAGGCTCTCGGTCCTGCCAGTACTGACTCACCATGTTCTTCAAGTAGATGGCAGCTAGAGCAAGAACATAATGGCTATTTCATCCAATCAGAATGCACAAATGGTAAGATCTCAATCCAGAATGATTCAGTTGAGTCATTCAGATTCACTCAGCTTGATTGATCAGTATTTTCTTATAGTACAGAAAGCATCAAAACGCTATAGGATGAGAAAAGCTCTTACCTGCCTGTCGCACAGGAAACTCCACCTGGTCCGAAACAATGATCTGCAGCAGAGTTGGGGCGAAGTTGATGATCTTGTAGGACTGAAAATAACAAAATTTTAAATTCATGATTTTTGTAAACATTATCAGTCTGCAATCCTGTCTGGATTCATGTGTCACTGTTCTCAGTGGTTCTCAGTTTTTTTTTCTTCAGGGCCAAGAACAAGTACAGCACCAAAATTTTACATTATCACACAAAATTGTTGGTTTTATGCTACCTGTAGCCAATTTACATTATCACACAAAATTGTTGGTTTTATGCTACCTGTAGCCAATTTACATTATCACACAAAATTGTTGGTTTTATGCTACCTGTAGCCAATTTACATTATCACACAAAATTGTTGGTTTTATGCTACCTGTAGCCAATAACTAAATTTAGAACTATGAAATAGCTTATAGTAAGAAAATTCCAATAAATTCTGTCTTTAACAAATATAACAAAACACCAAGAGGATGTCAAAACTGAACTGAAATAATGAAACTAATTGAACTGAATAATTTAAAACACACACACACACACAGATTTTGTATGCAGGCACCTCAGCTCTTCTAAACACACATACGAGTTCATCTGGAAGAGAAATTACTTTATATGGAGCGCTTTGTTTGCACAGAGTGTGGATTGCACTGAATTGCATCAGTGGTCCGTAGCAATGGTGATTTACATGCAGCAGAATCAGGACACAATGAAAAATGTCATAACACAGTATAACACCAATAAACTCTGTTGTAGTGCACATTCCACATTATTCATAGGGGATTTATGGGATTGTTTTCCTCTCTGGCATCAAATCTAAACCAGATCCGATCTTAAAGCACAGGACACAAATATTATTATAATTTAGTCGGTTGTCAGAAGAGGACCGCATCTGCCTCTATTGTTGCACACTAATGCATTGCAACTACTTTGCAACCTTAAAAATATTACATACGAAATCAACCATCTAAATAGTAAACAAAGATAAAATAGTGACGCAGACAAACGGATTAAACATTACCCTGCCTTATGCATTAAATCAGACCTTAATTTAGCATATTCACTGAAGGCATCTCTGCTCTCATGGTGCTTCTGTTTCCTAAAGAAACAACAAACTTCTCTTGATGGATCACTGACCTGGTTGAGCTCATTCTCAGCCGCTAGCCTGCGATTTGGATCTATGGTGCCCTTCAAAGCCTGTATGATTCGATTGGGATCCATTAGGCCCGATACGATGGATTAATTTGAATAAACTTTGGACTATCGGACAGATGTGCGGACGACCAGATATCTCGGATCTTACAGGCAGCCCTGCCCCAGTCTGCCGTCAAGCGACTGTCATCGTCGCAAAGAACAAAGCCGAAGCGAGACGTTTACGGCAGAAGCTGGCATGACAACCTTGAGAAAATTAATATTTTATAAAGTGCTATATAAATAAAATTAACTTTCCTTTCGCTTTTTGATTGAGAGGGAAAATCTGGTAAACATTACTTTTAATTATTAGTCTTAAAATTATTTCGAAGAGTAAAATCGAAGAGTAGGCCTATATGCACTATTCAAAATGTATATACATTCCTTATGCATTCTGAATAGTTTTGAATTATTGACTAAAACAATTGTTTGACAGATTTTTTATTATGCTACTGTTTAAAGAGTATTCGCAATATAATAGGGTTTACTGAATAGATATATAGATATAAAATATATTTGATATTTAAGGCGAGACACTGCGGGTGAATAGGGTAAAAAATGAACTAATATTTATCGCCTTACTTAGTTGATTGATTACATTGATAATTGCAAACATTTTTTTTATTACAAGTTTACTAAAATGTTAGGTTTAAATATGCAAATTAGGCATTATTTAATTAAATATGCACTAATTTGCATACATTTCTAGACTAAAATGTTAGGTTTAAATATGCAAATTAGGCATTATTTAATTAAATATGCGCTAATTTGCATACATTTCTAGTACAAAAATCTGAACACTGGATAAAGTCCGTTTCAAAATTCTTGTTTAATTTTTGTTGACATATTAGAGTCCAATGTTTTTACAGAGGAGATTTTGGGTATCTAATTTTTGTCACTCCGTAATTCAGAAAACACTTAGAACAGACTGAAAACAATATATTTTCGTAATTTTGGGGGGAATAAAATGTTGTATATAATCAAGCAAATTATATATGAACAAATCCCTCTGTAAAAAACCTTCAGACAGGAATAAAAATGTAAAGTGAAGTTTACATTCGCTTTATGAAAAAAAAACAAAAAGCCCAAAATCTCAAACTTGACAGGTGCATGAAAAAAACAGTGTTTTTGCCTGCAGTGTCTCCCCTTAAATAAAATGCCAAAGTTTGATCCATTTGCGCATTCTTGTATAGGATGCGCGTTTCGTATATAGATGTATTTGTCTCATTTGACGTGCCGTAGTGTTGTCATTGAAAAGTGTCATGGTGGCGTTTAGCACTAAGAATGCGCGTTTTACCAACAGAAACCCGTTTGAATCTCTTAATTTCGATGGTGTGATTCATTTTGTTTTTTTCCAGCGACCGCAACTGTCGGGCACAACATAACGGGCGCATCAAACAGTTTTAGCGATCGTTTAATAACGCTGTAGCGTGAATGTACAGCAGCTGTAAGTGTGTCTGCGCTGATTCTACCTGTCATCATGAGTGACATACAGCGCGATGATGAGCTCCGGCCGGTTCCCAAAGAGCGAGCCGTGCTCGAGAGTTTCTTCACTCAGCTCGGGATGTTCTGGTTCGACCGGGCGAAGGATTATGTGGAGAAGGAGAAGGACGCCAGTAAGAGCGCGGGGGCCACATGGGCGTCTCTGCTGGCCGCTCTCGCTCACCTGGCCGCCGCAGAGAAAGCCTACCACAACATGACTTTCCTCGGGCAGAAACTAGGTATGAAAGTAGCGTTTCCAATACTGCATTCTGTCAAAAAGTACTGTGGTGCTACCATTTGGAAGCCCATTTCCGCCACACAAAGGGGATTTAGTCAATCAAAATGATGACATAAAAGTCAAAATAATAAGTATGGATTACAGACATCGATATTTTGACAATAAAAAAGTCAAAATTATGAGATAAACTCAGAATTATGAAATATAAATGGAAATTATAATAAAGTTAGAGATGTCATAATTTGAAATTAATTCGAAATGTGAGGTGTCAGATCATAATTATGAGATAAAAATGATGATTATCAAAAGTAAAAAATTGAGATACCAAGTCATAAATATGATATAATCAAACCTGAAATAAAAAGTCGAAATTATGAGAGAAAAAGGGTCATAATTTAAACATAATTTAAAAATTGACAATCAAATTTAGGACTCATAATTACAACAAAGCTATACATTTGACAAAACAGTTATCATGTTATAATTGACACTTTTTCATAACGCAATGTAATTATATCATAATTATGACTTTTCACCTCAAATTTGACATTTAATGTCAATACAATTATTTGTCTTAATTATACCTTTAACTTATGACTTATTTTTCCAGTTATCTGAAAGTTCCCTTTGTCATGATTGTGACTTTGTCATCATACATCATTTTAATTATCATTTTATTGTGATTTGTCATGATGACATAGTATCTCATAAATGTGATTTTTTAAAATGTAAAACTTGACTATGTAAAACCTGATTTACCAGAGCATGATTTTTTTTCTTACTTTTTCCCGCAGGTATTAAATGGTAACACTTTGTGATTATGCTAGTAATTCAGCAACATATCATGGTAAGATGATGTTTTTGGACTTGTGCCAGGGTAATACTATGCTTTTTTGATGTGCCATAATAATACCATGGCCTTTTAGAAAAAAAAAATTGTATTACCGTAGTATATGTACCATGGTAATGTCGTGTCAAATATGCCAAAAAACGTGGTATTACCCTGGTCCAAGTCAAAAAAAAAAAAAAAAAGCACTGGATGGTGCTGTACATGTACCAACCAAGCTAATCTTTTGTTTTGTTTTTTTGAACAGTGTATGACAGGATAATATAATTTAATTTAAATACAGCAGATGGCGCCATGTGGTCAAACATCTCCGTCTGGGTGTTCTGTTACTGAATTAATTTTCAGGCTGAAACACTAGAGGTGCCTCCTGCATTGTATTGTTTTAATGCCATCACATTAATGTATGCGTGTTATGCAGGTGGTCAGTCATTTTTCAGCCGCAAGGATTCCATCAGAGCCATCTATACGTCCCTGAACAACGAACTGAGGAAGGTGGTCTCCATGGGCCGCCACACATCCGGAGGCTCCACTCCCAACCTGGAGGATCTCCTGCCCCATTTGTCCGAGCAGCTGTGTCACTTCACGCAGGCCAGGATGGAGATCGCAGACTTCTACGAGAAGATGCATTCTCTGGGCAGCCAGAAGACTGTGAACTCTGAGGAGCTCGTGAGCACGCTGGAGAGCATTCTGCAGAAGTACAGTTCCAGGTGAGAAACACAGGCGGCATGTGCAAATGCTTCATTGACTTGTTTTAGAATCATCACAATGAGCAACAATTATTAAAAACAATGGCCGTTTTGTATATTACTGAAATGGCCTAAGAATGGTTTCCCTAAGAGGGAGCTGTGGCTCACCTTGCTCAGATTCACCCCTTATTTATTAGCAAAACAAACGATTAACTATTTTTTTTACACCCAATACAAGTGGAATAGAAAAAGTATGAAAGCCCACATCCACCTCAAAGTAAGCAAAAATAAAAGTAATTTAAAATGAGAATTCTTTTAAAATCTTTATTCAGAAATTTAAATTATTAAATTATTAAAGTGCATTTAAATTATTTGTGTGTGTGTGTGTGTATCTGCTTTTTCTACATGTATATTTTTTTTAAATAATTTTTTAAAGGATACAGCTTCATTATTAATTAAAATAATAATAATTATTAAATAAAAAAAATAATATATACCATGAATTATTAAATATATATTTTTAATTAGATTTTTGTACCCTTTAATCACAACTTAACTTTTATTGAAAATTACCAATAATGTGCTTATAAACAAATGGAGTTGTAGAAGGAAAATGTGCAACATTTAAAGGTGCATTTAAAGTCTTTTTTTTTTTTTTTACATTATAGTAATATATACTGACATAAACACAGTGATAGATACAAGCGCATGTGCAATAACTGATTACAGTTCATTGAACAAGTTTGAAAAATATTGTTTAAGCCCTTTCTAATAATCTGTTAAATCTGTCAGATCTGTTAAAGCTCATTTGGATTTATGAAATGATCTTTAAAATACAGTATCTTGAAAAAGAGATGTAAGTGGAAAAACTATTTAAATAGGCCGTTAAATTACAAGCTTGTTCTAGCAGAAATCGTGTTATAGTGTGAAGGCAAGTGATGTATGATAAAGCAGTATGTGAGCCCAGCACCTGGTTAATGACATCTGAAGCAGAGCGCTCCCACTGACTGCTCAAGGTGAACTCTGCACTTCACTAAAGGAAGAGAGAGAGATGGAAGGAAGGAAGGATGCCAAACGTTGAGTCATCTCACAAATGTTATCTGATCAATTAATCAGTCAGCCAAGTGCTCAGCAGAGATTTGGTCTTTGCCAGCAGTGTGACTCTGCAGAGGTGGACCTTGAGAAATCAGCTGTGAACTCGATCAAATGTCTGCTGGCCTATAAAGAAAATGCTTTGAATGTGAATTTTTGTGTTGCAGAAATCATTATTTCCAAACAGGTTTCCTCAAACACTCCCCATCTTCCATTGGCTGGTTAAACAGATAGCCCCGCCCCTAAAATCTCACTATTGGTTGCTGTGTGAAGATGTTCTCATAGTGCCAGGGTTATCTCCGAATTAGACTGCCATAGAAAGTACTCTTTCTGTCAGCCTTTTTTATGAAGCTGACTTTTCTTTCTCTCTCTGTCATTTCCTCGTGCTCTCTTTCCGGCTGCCTGCTAAGACATGTAATTAATGATCAGTCAGGGGTGAAGAATTTTCACGCTGCTGCTGAATGCAGGAGATGTAATGAGCTCTATGCCACCCTGCAGTATTCATCACTTACTCCGGCACTATTGAGCAAAGAGAACGGCGCTCGCTCAAACACAAACGGGACACACAGATGGCAGGATTACAGAGATGTTGACAATCGTCCACCACCTTACATCGTCTCATATTGAGTTCCACGATATATTGAAAAAACGTAGTTTTTCTGCAATATATATTGTGATATAAAATGTAAAATTATGAAAAAAATACAGAAATTTCCTGAAGATGATTTTCCTCAAGGTGATCTGCATTTAAAAGGATTTTACAAATCTGAAAAAAATAACTTTTTCACTTTTTTTTTATTTATTTTTTTTATATA